CCCCCCCCCCCCCCCGTCGGCTCAAACGTCGTTGGTGTCGGGATCTTTTAGACTGAAAATGTGCTAGTTTAGCAGTCACGTCATGGGTCCTATCACTGGATAGGTTCCCAAATCTTTGTTTCTTGTCCGTCATATATTGTTAACATATTTGCTTATTGTATTTTTTCTTTTTATACAGATTGTAAATTTTATATATTTTAAAATAAAAAATAAAAAAAAAAAAAAACTTAATTTACAAATCAAATAATGAATATTAATTAATTTACTTAACTTTTATATTATATTCAATTATATTTTTCTATTATACATATATTAGTATGATATCAATCAAAATTGTTTGTATACTTTTTGATAACTTAAAAACTATATTCATTATCCTTTTGAAATGTTAAGTACTTTAATGAAAAAAAAAAAAAATCATTTTTCTATAAATGCATCATTCATTATGTACATATTAAATAGTTTTGGTATAACGATAGTCATAGAAAAATAAATCAAAGTATGTTTTATAAAAAAATATTAATATTTTGTTCACAAAATACTAAATATTAATAATCTTTTATAAAAAAAAAAAAATGGTAATATATTGATTATATATATATTTATTTCCGTGGTAAAAGTTATTAGTTGTGGATGGGCAATAGGTTTACATGTTTGTCCGTTTAATGTGACACTCAAAACGTTATAAGTATCGTTATTATATTTAATTATTCATTCTTGGTAAAGGTCATATATATGCACACATAGACAAACTTAACGCTGCACGTTTAACATAAATGATTCCTTTTTCTATAGACCATTCTACAATTCAACCCTAATGTTGGACCAAATCTTCCATGTTATATAAGCCAGTTGAAAGGCGATTCGAATTTAATAATCGGACTTGGGATACCACCTTATGGAATACTTATAAAGAACACATGTGGTAAAAATTAATGTTTTTATACAATGCTTCTTTTATGGAAATATGAGTTACACTACGATTATATAATTGAAAAACATTCCGTGAAATAAGTTTTGTGTGTAGCACAAAAACAAGAATCCTCTTAATTGGAACAAATGTATCTGGAAAATGTGCTTTCACTTTATTGTACAAGTTTCACAATAATTCTTTTAATGAAAACGAATTTGATTTTTTATCTAGACAAAATATATGAAAGTTATAAGTCAATTATGTATTATATTGTTTATTATTAATAAATGTAAATTAATTATTTTGTAATGATTTATATCGCGGAGTGTTATTCACAGTGTGTTGCGGATTGTACTCACGGACTGACTGAATGAACGTCTGACCAGCCGGTATATATATATCGGCGTCGATTGTCTAGAACATTCTCGAAATTACCTTAACGAGATAATCATCGCATATTCTAGAACATGGGATTTCCCCTTATCCACTGACAATATTGTAAACAACTTAAACGATTCGCGGTGCGTTGTTTACGTCACCACAGATTTTTAATATTACCTCTCCGATGATTGTGTCGGTCTGCCTCTTGACAACCGTAATTGACTCTTCAAGTGTGGAATAAGGTGACCAATTTATATTTTAAAATTACAATAACTTTCTTTTTTAACTCACTTATATTAATTTTATTTAAATTACTTATACACTCATTAATACACTTATTTTAAACTTTTATAGAATGTTTTACAATTTATTTTATTTATATTATCAGATTAGACGATCTGCGTATTCTTTTACGCTCGCCTTTGACCGTCTATACAAAAGAATAAGAAGAACGCATCTCCTTTGTGTTTTAAAATGTTGCTCCTTATATTTAATGTCCCCTGTGTGTGTGCGCGTGTATGTGTTTACGTGTGTGTGTGTGTGTCATATTTTATCTTTAGTACTTATGACCTATTCTTATATTTAATGTGTATTGATTATTATAATTATAATTATTTAATTGTACATTCAATTTTTTTAAAACAATATGAATGCTTAGGTGCATATCATTACAATTTACAATGTATTATTTGACCTGGTAAGCGTTAAAAATGTAATAAAATAAATTAATTTAAAATAAGAAATAATCATCATCCAGTATATCATTTGGAGTTGTTTTGTTTAACATTTAGGATTGATAATTTACAAAAAAATCCATAAAACTTTTTATTTTAGCATATAACTTTGCTGAGTTGAATTCCATTGTTGATTTTTACTACGTTGAATCAAGGAGAATAAATCCATGTTTACCTGACGTATTCAACGGCGTAGTCCCCGTTGGAAAAACCGAACACGGCACAAATTATTATTTGGGACTGGTAACAATTATTAACTCAATATTTAAATACATTTAATAATAATTTAAAATATTTTAAACCATAAAAGCAATTTTTGTTTTTTTATTAACAAATAGGATTTTGATAAAACAAAATTGTGGTTTTTAGATTCAATTGTTATTGTGTATATCTTTTGATTCATTTTTATTTTTATTTCATTTCTGTTTATATGATTGTACTGGCTCTGATAATTCACTTTTTGAGATGCTACATCTGGCATGTCTTTATTTTAGTTTTTATCAGTTGTTAAAACATTTATAAAAAGAGAAGAAAAATTAAACAAAAAATATCAAGTATAATTATAATAGATTAGACTAGGTTTTCGAAGAAAATTAATTTTGTTCAACATACCTAACTAAAAAAAATAATAAAACATTAAAGATCTATGAAATTGTTATGTTTTCTACACTTTTTTTCGTATAAAATTGATAACATTATAATTATATCTGGACAAATCATATTGAAAATCTTTAAAATTTAAAGTACACAGTTGTTCATACATACTTGAAAAACAAATAATGTATATTTGCAGCATTTATATAATTAGGAGTTTTTATGACTTTTAATTTTAACACCTCATACATTTAATATAAGATTATTTTACTTGATGTATTGTTTTAGATGGAAGAAAAAAAAGTTTCATGACATCTTTGGAATAATAATTATTGAATAATAATTATCCATCATTATCAACCATCTATTTATATATACATCCGAATCTTGTACATTGGCGTAACTAGGTCTAAATTATTGGGGGCTGAAGCCCTACAAATAAATTTAATCAATATGAGCAATGGGGAGCTTTGCCCCCATACCCCCAATTACCGTAGCCACAGAACAATAATTATTAACTGAAATAATAACAATCATAAAATATTATTACCATGCTATATTATCAAAAATCATGTACCTACTTCTATGTAGTATATTTTACATAAAATATGACATAATACCACCGTAGTATTCCATCATCATCCGTCACATTTATTAGATAACAATATTATTATTAATTATGTAGAATTGTATGAATTACAAAATAAACTATAATAATAATATTTTATATTTATACAATTTACTTTTGAATAATTCTCTGCGTCATATAGGTACTTATATTATTTAGAATGCATCTCACTATCCCATGCTTAAATTATCATTAAATTTTAAATAATAAAAAAAAATTAGAGGAGCTATAATATATTTGAGGGGGCTAAGCCCCTCTAAGTCCCTTCTTAGTTGCGCCAATGATCCTATATCTTACATGATTTCTTATCACGATATGTTTCTAATTAACAGAGTATTCAAGTAAAACTCAATAGCAAAATCTTTGCAGATTAATGTTTCGCTGACTTCCTGTAAACATGTTATTATTCACAGGAAGAAATCAGTGAAATCCTTTCAGAAACACAAATAGATAAGAAAAAACTCGTATACGTTCTTCAATTCGGTCCCTATGAAAAAGATGTCCCAAAAATGAAATCGTATCATCATGTAATGATCATTATCATGCATCATTACATATTTGGGCACTTTTTTTTAAAACTCGATATTACTCATGTTCTAGGTGTGTACAAATCAATATAATTGCTCCACGTGGTGTATTGAAAATACAAAGAATTTTTTTTCGAAGGTAAATAGTAATGTTTATTAGTTATGCAAAAATATTTTTAAAAACTAAGTATGGAAATTGGAATTTCACTTGAATAAACTATATAAATACTGAATAAATACTATTAAATATTTAATAAACATAATTTTTTTTTTTTTTTGTAATTAAATAAGCACCTTTTTTTCAATAAACATAATTTTTTTTTAAATTTTTTTTTTTTTTAAATTTAATTAGACTATATTTTCAAATGCATGGGTTTGTTAAACAGCATCAGTAAATCTGAACCAAATTGTTTACATTTTAATTGGCACTAAATATTCATGAAAAATTATATTAAGAAGTGTTTGATGAAAAAAAAATTGCATTGCCATTTGAATGCAGGAGCCGATATGTCTTGGTATACTTCTGTCTGTAGTGAGCTGTCTTAGAAAAAAATCATTCAGTACGTTTTGTGACGAAGTCTATGTTTGTCGCAAATTCCTTTTCAATGGTACAATGTAGATAACTGTTAAAGAAAATAAATTAAATACATTTGAATGCTCAAGGTTTATTTATTTACTGATACAGACGAAACTTACTAGTGGCAACTGCGTTGTAAATTGCTAATATATATGCATTACGTATATCAGTGCTTAGTGCAATTATTTCTTTATTGTAATTAACTTAGATTATTAATTGAAATAACGCTAAGTTAACTATAAGTTCATTTTTAAGTTAATTGATGTAATTCTCATATGAATTAACTTAATTGTTAACTTTATTGAACATAAACTCAATTCACTTGACTTAACTGAGTTAAAAAATATCATTAACTTGACTATCCATCTAATTTTGTAACACAATATTATTTGAGTATAATTACGCTATTCCCCATCTTTACTTAATGGGAAGGGGAGGCAATTTTTTCTTTTTTTATATATAAATTTGGCATAGCATTGAAAACGTATATTTTATATTGCATAGGAATTTGTACCTGTTATTTTATTTTTTAAAATTATGTTAATGTTTTCTTATAATCAGGGCTTTGCATCCGAATTAATCCGAATCCTGTAACACCCCTAAAAACCCTTAAATAATCAAACACCCAAAACCCATATAACCCAAATGATTTTTTTTTTTTAAACACCCGAATTAACCGAAACCCGAATAATGTTTTATTTTACAATCTTTATGTGATATATCATTTTGTATGTATTTTTGTGATTATTTCAGTTCGTCATTTGTTGTTCAATAGTAAAATTGTTATTCACAAGTATAGTTTCACAAATAATATACAAAATTGTTAATTAATCTAAATGTATCTAAATAAAGAATATAGCAATACATCATATTTACAGTTGTGCATCAATGGTATATTATGTTGAATATTCAAGTGTGAACAACTGGGATACTATTTTTAAAATCATCCCAAGCGGATACGTCGTATTATTATAATTTAATAGGTAATAGCATGGGGTAGACACAACACGGCGGCAACGAAATCAGCGGCTATTTTAATTGAGGTACTTTTGTTATCAGATTATAATCAGTGATAACTGATATTCGTTATTAATTTTAATTTCAACTATGGTAATTGTTCAATATGTGATCTACCAAACAATGTGAAACAAGGTGACCAACTGGGTACCAAGAAGTTTTTACTTGTGGATCACTTTTTAGATAGTATGTCTACCATAATACAGGCCCATGTCCAGGATTTCAGAATGGGAAGTGTTTAAAAAAAAAAAAATGTATAAAATAGATTCATCGATGATTAAATAGTATTATACAGATATTTATATAAATTCTTTTAGTATATTAAAAACGTTTATATCGATATAATACTATAAAATGCAAATCATTGTTGTAGTAAATTTACAAATACAATTGTAATACATTTACAAAAATACAATTTATATTTTTTTGATAATGATAGAAGGTTGGGGGTTGATCCATGGTCATACCATAGTATAAGACTTATAAGCCCCCCAAATCTCAAACTCTTATTGCACCTAATACCTTGAAAAATAATACTACTATTAGTAACATTTGAAAATGCGCAGTAGCTTATAATGAATATTACTACCGTTTCATGATGGAATAAAATGTTACTAACTTCCTACTGTACCTCAAATAAAATGACTGACTGATTTCATTATTGTCCTATGCTGCCCATGTAATTTGTTATCAGTGTCCATTCTGTTTCATTCTGTGGTAATAGGTATTCTACGAATCACCGAGTTTATTTATTGTAATACTGTAAGTCTGAAATAGAACTGATGTCTCACGTATGATTACCTAAATTGTTGTTCGCGTTATTCGATTTTATTTGTCAGTGTATGGCGTGTAGTACACATGTCTATGTCGTGATGTCGTGAATTGTAAATTTTTGTTGATGTAATAATTTCATCGTATCATTCATAAGTACAAATTATTATTTTATATCCTAGCTAGTGCATTTTAGTGCACACTGTGCATGCACCACAAACCATAAGCGGAAATTTGGTGAAATTTGTGAAGAGGCTGAGCATTATTTGCTTATTATACCTAAGAATACCACTGTGCGCAATTATTTGTTTCAACAAGGCAATTTACGAAGTTTGACAATTTGACATTTTTAATCAACAATTTAAACAAAAAAACAATTAAGTGCCTTATATTAAACATTTTTGGCGTAGGTGTTCTAAACAGATATTATTAATTAATTAAATAAAACAACCTGTACAGGTTTTATTATACATTATTAATATTACATTAATTGTGATCGTTCCAAGTCATGAAAAGAAGTTAGTAAAATTTTACGAATTTGATTTAATTTTTATCACAGAATATTTTTTTTTAATTCAGTTATTAAAAAATGCATTTTACAATTATAATAATTATTGTATTTTTAGTCTCTTAACAATTTTTAGAACTAAAGAGGCTAAGACCTGTACTTTATATTTCTGGGGGGCTTAGTCCCTTCAAGACCCCCCCCAATTCCCACCTATGCCACAAACACAAATGCAGAATACAAAATAGTTTGTTTTTTGTCACATACGATATGCCCACAATAACTAAGAGTAGGACATAGTGTTAGTATTTTAATTTTAATAGATATTATAATTTATAAGTTTTATACACATATAAAATAACCCCCTCTTCCCTGAAAATAAATCGTAGTTACACCATTGCTTGAAATTAACATAATGATAGTTTGGTCTAAAAACTGTTGCATAGTTGTATAAGAAATTTATATTTTATCACATAGGCAGGTAACAAAATATATAAATATTTCATTAGTGTAGGGGGGCTTACCACCCTCCACCAATGAAAAATAATATTTTTCCTTGACTACTTAACACCCGTATTAACTAAACGGTTATTAACAACCAAACGTTTGTTTAAATGTTGTATTGCGGTGTTTGAACACGAATATATGCAACACCCGAAACCCGAAACCCAAAAAAATTATTCGGGTGCACAGCCTTGCTTGTAATACGTTTATTGATAAATAAATAAATTTTTATTCTTTTTATTTATATTTAAATAAAATATAGCATACTTTCACCTCGTGTTTTTATTGATTAGTTATATGAATCTATAGAATAATTTATTTTTCTTAATTTTTTCCAGGGCGTTTTTGTGCGTAAACAAAATGCCGGATGTAGTATCGCATATTTTGAGCTTGATGACATACAGAATGAATGTGGATGTGGTGCTTTTATCGGAGTGAAAAACATTGTGGCAGGTTACCGTGGAGGGGAAATGCAACCATGCGCAAAATTTGACGTCAAAAGTTCGACACTGATATAAACCAAGCCTTATCATTTTTAATTATGTTTTAAATTTTCATCATCATGAACGCACTTTATATATTTATTTATGTCATTGAAATAATATTTATCAAAATATACAGAAATATTTCTTAACGGTTCGTGTTGTATCAAATCAATATGACAAATTTTTACTTAATTTTTTTTTTGTTTCTGAGTAAAATAAAGAATAAATTGGTATTATCGTGGTGATGTATTTTTTTTTCTGTATTTCTATACACGATTTCGACCGAAAGATTTAATTTGATTATTACGGCTAGGGATATTTCTGATAGGAAATTATTTCAAGTTAGTTCTTTGATGAGAATTAATTTTACAATGAAAAATTTACAAAGTTCTATAAATTCTATTATATACATTTTAAACTGTAACAAAATACCCTATTTTTTGTGAATATGTTGATACCAAAAACTCATTTATCGATATTTTGTGGTATACCTACCCACTTTTAATTAAACACCATCGATATCACAGAAAAAAACACATTTATTTATAGTTTATACAATCTGTGAATGCCAGTTCATGTCATGTATTTACATTGGTATTGACAAAAGTCTTGACTCACATTTAGTTTTAGAGATCATGACCCCGAAAAAAGACTACCTATAGATGATTAGTATTGCAATATGTCACATATTACCAGTTAAAATAATAAAAATGTAACACGTAGAAATCGAACGATATGTAATATATTATGCCGTATGCTAACAAATACGAAATATTATTAATGTAATTGTAAAATAATAAAATGTAACACATCGTAAAATTCACACTCGTAAAATATAGAAATCTAAATATGAACAGAAATAAAAAACCGTGTGCACGCGCAAGCGTATGAGTCACTCTTTCTACCGAATTTCGTTGAACAGTTAATAATAAATACATGAATACAAATTTATGTAAGTATATATGTATTTAATATTAATTCATTCCAATTTATTTAATAATTGAAAATTTTCTTTGCGTAACACCTTATAAGCTTTCCGCGTACCATACGTTGAGAAGCGCTGCGATCGTTGGTTTATTATTCGTTAGCTGGTTTATTATTCATTAGTTGTTTTATTAATCAATAGTTAGTAGTTAAACCGACTTATTTTCTTATCATTTACTACTGACTAAGTCGTTAGTCGTTACTGGGTGGTCTCAACAATCTGCTTAAATTAAATCAATTTAATTAGTGATGGGTTGAACTGTTCGAATTTTGAACCGAATCAAACCGAACCCTTGATGTTCAGTTCGGTTCAAAATTCGAACTCGGCATGAAAATAAATTGAACCGAACTATCAAGCATCTTTTTCTGTTCAAAAACCAAATATTTGAAATATTTGTATAATTCTTCAAAAGTTATTTTTGAAAAATAAAAATTGATAATGATTATTTAGAAAAAATAATTAGACCATTGGCGGTAGAAAGTGATAATCTCTAGCGGGCACGTTATGCATTATTTATAATAATAATGCTATTATTATGATAATAATGTTATTTTTCCAGTGGCATGTTTTTATCCACCCTCCGTCGACCAAAACATTAATAAGTTGTATATCGCCAATATAGGCATTGTATCTACATTCATAAATTAGCTATTTTTGTTATTATTATATTTATTGTAGAGGTTAAAATCTTTTTTGGGTTGATCCATGGTAATATTCCAATAACGCGACTGTGTTGTTAATAAAAACATGTTTACAACTCACGTCTTGCATTATAAATTGTACTAATCATTCTATATTTATGAATTATAGGTATTATTGCTATTTTTTTTATATTTTATTAAAATGTACTGATTGTATTGTCATAACACTCAATACTCAATACTCAATGAATATTTTATAAGCTACAAGACAACGTGAGTTTCACGTTGAGAAGCACAATCCTAAGTAACAATCAAGTATTCAATAAATAATACACAAATATTTATTTTCTAATATTGTGAAAATTAAATAAATATTCAACATTAGTTTTTGATTGATTAAAAGTTTTTTTTTATATTTGCCCAATATTGAATAATCATTGAATGAACCAACCCAGACAGTAAAAGAACATTTAAATAAAAAATAACAATAAAATATTAATAAATTAATATTGAAATTACTATAACGTTTCCATTTAATTCCAAAAAAAATATTAAATGTTAATTTAACATTTTCAAAACATTTTTTGGCCACAAAAATAATGTTTGAACAATGTTAAAATCAATAATTTTGTTTTAATTTAATTTAATGTTAATATATCGATTATACAATATTATTAGTACTCTAAAATATTATGAAAACCTTGATATTAAACTATTACAATATTTAATTTACAATATTATTTTAAAAACTTTCTGGAATATATTTATTCATTATGTTATCAATGTTTGTTTAAAAAAGTATATTTATTAAATATACAATGAAACCTCTGAATAATATAATAATAATATAATAAAATAAGAAAATAATTTGCCACTGTACCCCAAAAAACCTTCTTCATTTGAAGATATCTGTTAAAGGATAGGGTTCACTGTATATACTGCATACAACATTGCCATGTTTAATAGTATTGTGCAGACCACACTTCAGAACATTAGATGGAAGGTACCTCAAATTCTTGTTAAGTTTTTTTAATAATATCGAAAAAAAGTTGTTGTATAATTTAAAATTATAACTTTTTATTAAATTTATATTGTTAGGAGTTAAGATAAATAAATAATATGCATGTTAGTTAATGAAAAAAAAAAAATGAATATAATTTATCATGATACATTTATAACACTTTCAATTTAGATAGCAATATATACTTTTTATTATTTTATTGCTAAAACTTATTAGCAAAATACATTTTTTTTTTTTTGATAGACATAAGCAATATACACTTTTATTTATTTATTTATTATTTTTTTTTTTTTTTTGCTAAGACTTTTTAGTATAAAAAAATGAAATTAATGAAACTATCAAATAAATACATAATAATATATAATCATAACATATTGTAATACATAATCATAACATTGTTAAATAACATATTAATTTTCTTCTTTTTTCTTTTTTCCCCTGAAAGAGGCATGAGATAACCTAATTGCCAATGGTGTATCTATTTCTTTTTCGGTACACATTTTATACTTCCCATAGATTCTTAAAGCATCTGAAACATAGAAGTTATATAATCAATATTGATACTTATACTATACTATTTAAAGTGTACTCGTGTCAAATTACATGAACAATTTATAAATTTAATAAACTAATCATGAGCTTCTAAATAATCTTTAATGCACTATAACTTTTGCGTTCATATATATTTTGTTCAATGAACATTTAATGATTTTTTATGTCTAACCTAAGTAAATCAAATTGTTAATATGAATCATAGACAAATCGTCCTGTTTAATATCAATTCATTTAGATTGATTTAATTTTTTATTGAAATTATGACCCAAATATACCATTTATTATCTATAGCTATAGTAAATATTGACTTACCATTTTATATTAAATATAATATTATTACAAAATATAGAGCAGAAATGTATTTAAAAAAAATATAGGACACAGATGTGTATAAAGACTATGACTATACTTTTAATGAAATATAAAGTGTATAATATAAAAAATATCTACTTTACCTATGACTAAGCGATAACAGGATAAATTGGCAAAAGATATTTTATTTTTTAATCCATATAGGGAATAGTTGACAAGAAACTGATCACTGAACAACCTCATCATAATACGTCGGACACTATTTCCGAGATCTTTATTACCCATTAACAATGAAATTCTATGAACTTATATAAGTATATATAATATTATAGTATGAATAATACAACAATATATTTATGTAAAAATTATCATTATTAATATTAAATAATTACCTATATTCGCCTAAATTCTATGTCTTTTATTTTATTTTCCAATGCTCTTAGTTCATTATCATTTGTTATGGAAAATAATAAATATATGTCAATTTCATCATTAAATGAAGAGATTAAAGAAGATTTATCAATCATCAGTTTTAAAATATTTTCATAATTTGAATGAGCAGTATAAATCAAACTGTTCATTTCATGTTTTAAATGTATTAGTGAACTTAACACCAAACTTTGAAAATCTAATTAAAATGTAAGAAATGTATTTATTTAATTAATTATTTTTTTATATAAATTGAAACTGTTAGTACCTGCAGTAGATGTCAATTTGGGTTAAAAATTATTTGTGTTTGGTTTACTATTTTTAGTTATGATACCTTCGACCTTGTGGCCTTTAAAATTAAACAATAATTTATTATAAATAGGGTTGTAAAATTTCATGAAATTTATTTTCATGAAATATTTCATGAAAATGTCATGAAATATATAACTTGAGTGAAAAATAAAAATTTTGTTTTATTTCAGTAAAAATATAATGCTTTTTGTTTTATTTTTTATGGAATACCTTTTGTATTATTAATTGTACTAAATAGAAATAAAAATTAATTTATATAAATTAACAATTAACACTATATTAGTTTATAGTTATTATAATTTATAAATATTGATTTAAGAGGTAAGAGACCAATAGTCATTGAAACACCTGAAGAAATTTTACAAAATATAAATGAATTTATAAATAAGTTGCCAGTAGTCACATTACTCATCAGCTATCACATTATTTCAGATGTTTCTCATCAAAAAAATATATCGGTACCTAGTGAGTTTAAAAGTTAAGCACATATTTATAAAATTTATTGTGAATATTGTGAAACACGCAATATTATATCAGCATCTGGAAATGTTTTTAAAGAAAGATGAAAATTACAATTCAATATTGGAGTACAATATTAAATTATATTTATATACAAATAATAAATAAAATAAATATATATATATATATATATATATATATATATATATATATATATATATATATAGACAATATTTCGATCATATTGGAATTTATTGGAATATTTTGAGGGATTAGGTTTAAAGAATCTTGTGAAAAATTTATTGATGAAGAGACAGGATGAGTCTCAATTTCCTGATATCCTAATACATATGTATTTTCTTCATCTAATATTCTGGATACACCAATTTCCTGGAGTATATCCAGTTCATTTTTAATTTTCCTTCTCTTAGTTCGTGTACTTTTAATCATTTTAATAAAAATTAATATTTACCT